GAGGAAACTCATTTCGGCCGCTTGTATCCACGATCTCGTTCTTTCGGTCATTACCCAAAGCTCATGACCATAGGTGAGGATTGGAACGTAGATCGACCGGTAAATCGAGAGCCTGGCTTTCTGGCTCAGCTCCCTCTTCACCACGACAGATTGGCTCAGCGTCTGCATCACTGCAGATGCTAAACCAATCCGCCTGTCAATCTCCTGATCCCTCCTACCCTCACTCGTGAACAAGACCCCAAGATACTTAAACTCCTCCACTTGAGATAGGACTTCTCCCCCGACCCCAAGTTGGCAAGCCACCCTTTTCCGGTCGAGAACCATGGTCTCAGATTTGGAGGTGCTGATCCTCATCCCTGCCGCTTCACACTCGGCCGCGAACCTACCCAGCAAGAGCTGAAGGTCAGAGCTGGATGAAGCTAGGAGGACCATATCATCCGCAAAAAGCAGAGACGAGATTCTCCTGCCACCAAACTCGACACACTCCACACCAAGGCTGCGCTTAGAAATTTCGTCCATAAAGGTTATGAACAGAACCGGTGACAAAGGGCAGCCCTGGCGGAGTCCAATCCTCACCGGGAACAGGTCCGACTTACTACCGGCTATGCAGACCCAACTCACGCTCCTCTGGTAAAGGGAATGAATAGCCCTTAACAGAAAGCCACCCACCCCATAATCCTAGAGCGTCCCCCACAGGGTGCCCCTGGGGACACGGTCATAAGCCTTCTCTAAATCCACAAAACACATGTGGATTGGTTGGTCAAACTCCCATGTCCCCTCCATCACCCTTGCAGGGGTATAGAGCTGGTCCACAGTTCCACGGTCAGGAAGAAAACCACATAGCTCCTCCTCAATCTGAGATTCAACTATCGATCGGACCCTCCTCTCCAGTACCTTTGGAGTAGACCTTTCCAGGGAGGCTGAGGAGAGTGATCCCCCTATAGTTGGAACACACCCTCAGGTCACCCTTCTTAAAGATGGGGACCACCACCCCGGTCTGCCACTCCACAGGAACTGCTCCCGATGACCAAGCGATGTTGCAGAGACGTGTCAACCACGACAGCCCTACAACATCCATAGCCTTGAGATACCCAGGTCGAATCTCATCCACCCCCGGGCTCCGCCGCTGCGTAGTCATTTGACTACCTCAGCAACTTCTGCCCCAGAGATTGGACAGTCCATCCCCAGGTCTCCCGGCTCTGGCTCCTCCTCGGAATGCGCGTAGGTGGGATTGAGGAGCTCCTCATTGTATTCCTTCCACCGCCTGACTATAGCCCCAGTTGACGTCAACAGCTCCCCATCCCCACTGTAAACCGTGTGAGCGAGTTGCTGCCTCCCTCTCCTGAGGCGCCGGATAGTTTGCCAGAACCTCTTTGGAGCCGATCGATAGTCTTTCTCCATGGCCTCACCAAACTTCTCCCACGCCCCCAAAATTTTGCCTCGGCAAATGCCACTGCTGCACCCCGCTTGGCTATCCGGTACCTGTCTGCTGCCTCCAGAGACCCACAGACCAGCCACGCCCTGTAGGCCTCCTTCTTCAGCCTGACAGCTCCCCAAAACTCTGGTGTCCACCAGGGGGTACGGGGGTTGCCACCATGACTGCCACCGGCCACCTTGGGACCACAGCTAGCAACAGCTGCCTCAACAATTGTAAAGTGGAACAAGGCCCACTCGGAGTCAATGTCCCCCACTGCTCTCGGGACTGAATGTAAAACTACTTTTCACAAAAGAACTTCTGTTGTTGTGTGTGTAAACAGCTTCACTCTTCACCTCTAAGCTTAATAAAAAACGCTTCTTTGCTCCGTTGTCCTCAAAACAAAGGACAAGTTTAATTCGCTACACACACACCCACGGGAATAACTGGGACCTGCGAAACAAACTCGTTCTGGATGATTTCTGCCTAAAATGTAATTTAAAAAACTAATATACAAACGAAAATGTCTATAAACTGAACCGCTTTAAGCTTCTTAGGTTTCTACGGCTAGTTTTTAACAAACTTACGTTTAAAACTTCGTAGCTCTCCCCATTTACTTTTCCTGTTGAAAATCCACAGCCGGCGCGCAAAGCATGCTGGGATAACCTTGTTCTGTGAGGATACAACAGACCCGTCCTCGAAATGTGGGTGGAGCGAGGACGCATTTGAGGACGCGAGAATGAGTATTCTTGGAATTCGGACAGTACTCGTCGCTGCGTTGTGACGTCATCAACCTCAAAATGCGCTCTTACAAGCATCCTTCCCGTGGATTCGGACACACCCCATGTTTCCTTCTACAGGAGCCTGGGAGGACAAAATATTACTGTTTTGAAACAAATGGTTACAAAACAGTCGCTATTCACAAACATTGTTGTTTTACACATTTACCTCTTCACCTGTTGCCAGTGATGAAAGGGAGTCTGATGTGCTTGTCATTTTTCTGGAGGTTGCACTGCCAGGGTTTTTTGACCCTAATGGCCATCCGTTGGTAAGGTCTTACTTGAACACAAAGTTCTTGTTCAAGTTGAACAGCGCCTCGCCTGGAAAACAGACGAGAGCAGACGGAAGCAGCAGGGGGAGTGGCGGAAAGCCGGCATTTAAGTCGGACAGATTTCCCTAATAATAATAATAATACAATTAATTTTTAATGCACTTTACATTACAGAAGTAATCTCAAAGTGCTATAGAGTATAGGGGACAGGTATAAGGTACACAGCTAGTTAAAAACTGTTAAAATTTCAGGATACTATCAAATATGGAAAATAAAAACAGTCCCCAGAAATAGATAAAACCCATCTAAAAAGTCATTACAGTAGATACAAACAATAAGTAAAAACAACACAATAAAGTAAAACACTCAATAGATCATTGTGCACTAGAAAGCCTTATTAAACAAAAAGGTCTTGAGGCCTTTTTTGAAAAGCTCCACAGATTGTGTGGCCCTTAGAATCTCTGGGAGAGAATTCCAAAATTGAGGGGCCACTGCCTTGAAGGACCTGTCTCCCATAGTGGAGAGTTTAGTCAGTGGTTGGTGCAGGCGGTGTGAAGAGGTGGTAGATCGGAGGGTTCTTGTGGCAGTGTGTGGAATGAGAAGTTCGCTCAGATAGGCAGGAGCAGTTCCATGGATGCACTGGTGAGTAAGAAGGCCAATTTTGTACTGAACCCGATATTGGATGGGCAGCCAATGAAGTGATCTCAGAACTGGAGTGATATGATCGTATTTGCGTCTCCTCATCAGGACCTGGGCAGCTGAGTTCTGGATGTGCTGGAGCTTTTGTATGCTCTTGCCGGGGGCCCCAACGAGGAGGGCATTGCAATAGTCCAACCTGGAGGAGATAAATGCATGGACCAATTTCTCTGCATCTGGCTGAGAAAGAGAGGGACGGAGTTTAGCAATGTTTTTTAGGTGGAGAAAAGAGACCTTGCAGAGGTGGCGGATGTGGGTGTCAAATGTAAGATTTGAATCTAGTCTGATACCAAGATTTGTTACAGTAGAGGAAAGGGGAATGTCATGACCGAAAATGGAATTACTGCTAAGGGAGAGAGACTGTGTTTGATGTGTTTGATGTGGAGTGCCGATAATGATAGATTCCGTTTTATTACTGTTTAGTTTTATTACTGTTTAGTTGAAGAAAATTTGCGATCATCCATGCTGTTATGCTCATCTCCTCCAGGCAGACCTGAAGTACAGATGGAAGAGTTTTAGGTATAGTGGAGTCCATTTTCATGTATAACTGAGTGTCGTCTGCATAACAGTGAAACGATATTTTGTATTTATGGAAAATTTGTCCAAGTGGAAGCATGTAGATGGAGAAAAGGTTTGGCCCAAGAACTGACCCCTGTGGTACTCCACAATTTACAGTGTAGGGGGATGACTGACATTGTCCTGAAGCTACAAATTCCGTTCTGCCCGTAAGGTACTCCTGCAACCAATGTAGTGTGGTTGCCGAAAGGCCAACCACAGTCTGGAGTTGATTTAGTAAGATGGTATGGTCCACAGTGTCAAACGCCGCTGACAGATCCAGTAGGAGGAGGAGAGATGGTGAGCCCTGATCCGCAGTTAGAAGTAAATCATTCATAACACGGATCAGGGCAGTTTCTGTGCTGTGGGCTGAACGGAAACCTCAATTTCCCTACATGTGTAGCTCATGGGTGACGACCGGATGAACACATCGCGTTAGCGTTCATACTTGTTTAATTTTCAGTTTTAATTCTGGTGCCTGTTAGCAGCTGAAACACATCCTCACGTGCTTCTGGATATCATATATTGTATATGAAGACATGACTGTAACAATAAGTAAAGGTTATCAGCTGTAGATTTAGTGTGCTCATAGGAAACGTGACAAAAGAACACAAAACACATTTCTCTTTATGGCCTATATTGTTGTCATCATCAGCATAACATGATTCACAGAATACATGTGACCAACTAACATTTTATGTTCTACCACCGGATGTTCGGATCAAAATATGAACCAATCAGATCTTAGATCAGGTGAGAGACAGGCGTTTCCCGTCAACCCCAAGGTTTTGCAGCCGAGGGAGAGTAACTGCAGCACCTTGCTCCAAAATCTGCGGCCACTTTGATCTCACGAGGTTATCGTTGCCTACGTATGCATGACGTCAGACCAAGTCGGCGTCAAGTTGGACACAAATCTAACCGCCATGCACAGCTCGCCGATCACCGCTGATCTAATCTGCACAGAACTGGCTTATCTGGAACACGGCCACATATACTGCTTGCTTGCATTGCTTTAGGTATCTTCTGCCCCCTGTCGCCAGGGAAAATGCACACTGTCACTTTAAACTTATATTAAACCTGAAATTATCACAAAATATTGCAATCATCTGTATAGTCAGGGAGGGACTGATTTAAGAAACGTGTTCTTTGCTCATTTGGCATTTATCATTTAGTTGTTATAGAAGTATGATTTTTAAATGTTTTCAACTTTAGTTCTGAACAATAAATAGAAAATCTGGCTAATTAAAAAAATTCTAGAAGACAATAGATGGTTGTTTTGATTAAATGATACGACAACCTACCACAGCTGTCCTTAGACTGTTGGCGGTGATCACGTGGCTGAGCACCTGATCGTGACGTAGCTCACCAACATGGCGGACTGGAACAGAGGTGGGTTTGAATTTGGACACGTATTCACTTTTATCTTATAGTTTATTTGTGATGTTGATGGTTGAAATGCCATTTTATAGCGGTGCGAGGGGGACTGTGACGTCAGCAGACATCAGAACCAACGGTTCAGAGCCCGAACCCCCAGCTGGGCTAGCATGAGGCTAGCACTAGCTGTTTAACAACACCTTCTTCGCTGAGCAAAGCAGATAAAGCGATAAAAACGGGACGTTTCTCAGATTATGAATAAAGAAAAGACAATCGGAGGTTTAGCTCGTGGTTGACTTTCATTTAAATGGTGAAAGGGCAGACAACAACAGTAAAACAGGATTTGAGGCTTACTTTTCATATTTAGTTTTGTTTGGATAATTTGGCTGACATAAGATGGTCTTTATGGAACATAACCGGGGTTTCCTTTAAGTAAACCTTTCCTGAACGCACCACTAGTATAAAAAAGGTTTTAAATGTTACTTTTACTACGGAGCAGTACACACATGTAAGTACAGGTCACACAGCACCACAGAGACAGAAAAATAAAACAGAACACCTTTATCAGTCACGTCTTGAAGAAATGCATGTTTCACTCTAATCTGTTTCCCACCTGATTATGTTCTGATCCTGTTGCTGACTCTGATCTCAGTTCAGTTTTAACTGATAACACTTTCAAAGTAAAAGTTGGTGTCCTTGCTTTTTTTCTGTCCAGAAGTCTTTTTTTCCAGATCATCACTTTTAATGCTTTTCCTCCCAGCCGTGGACATTCTCTCCTTTTTTGACATAAATTGTTCAGCTGTTGCCTAAAGTGACCATGTGTAGTTTTCCTGGCGATAGGGGGCAGTAGATACCCGAATCACAGCAAGCAAGCATTATTTTTGTGTTCAAATAAGACCTTACCAACTGATGGCACTTAGGGTCAAAAATCCCTGGGAGTGCAACCTCCATCAAAATAACACCAGATTCCCTTTCATCACTAAACGAGTGAAGAGGTAAATGTGTAAAGCAACAATGTGTATTAATGCTCAAAGTTTATAACCACTTGTCACATATCAGTAAATGCATTTTGTCCTCAGACTTCCGTAGAAGGAAACATGGCATCCAATATGGCATCGCTCGGTGACAGGGTGTTTCTCAATGTGAAGGCACCTGGCTTTGCGAGGCGATGTCTTGCTAGGCCAGGTGCCTTACTTACGAGGACACTGTTCTTCCTTGGTCAAAGAAAACGTTTAAATGGAACAGACTTGCATCACGTGACCGCAGCTTCCACGACAGCCATGTAACATCACATGAAACGGGACATAACGATATATTTTATACGTATTAGTTTCAATATAAATATATAACGAGGTGTTTACTTTTAAAATTGTGTATGTTTATTAAATTAAAAATATAAGCAAGTTACTACCCGCTAGCCACCGAAGCTGCAACTAATAAGCAGCCAACCAACAATAGATAACTTCGTTGGATCTAAAAAAGAAACATTTTAAATTAGTTCTCTTACTTTTAAACTTGAAATTTGCCCCCGAAGTAGCTGCCGGTTTTTGATCCGCCATGCTTTTGAAAATACTGCGGTGTATTCTGGGAAAGTTTTGCCAAGGCTAGGCTAAAAGACACCTTCTGTGTATCCTTGCTCAGCTAGCTAAACAGCTAACTAACGGAGAACACACGCCTTGGTAGAACATGAACATTGGAACGCGTCTTGGCAGCTCCTGATGACGTATCTCCTAGGCAACCGGGGCAGGGTCAAGACATCAAGGCGAGGTTCCTTGGCATTGAGAAACACCCTCTGTCCCTTTCCAATGTATTTTACAACAGATCTTTATGGTAACTTGTTTTTAAACTGCCAATATTTTTTCAACAACTGTTTTAATTCTTTTACGACAACAGTTCGGTGGATATTTCCAGAGATTAAAGGTGAAAACTACACACTGTCACTTTAACAGGATCTTGTTCAAACAGCACCAAGCTTCGGACTTCGACTGGTTCTTTTCTAGTTCTGCCTGTTCCATTTGCTGACTGGTTCTTTTGTTCGTTCTTCGTATCTTCCCTGTCCTCTCATTGGATTTTCATTGTTTCATGTTGATCCTTTGAGTCTTTAATCCAACCTTTTATTTCAATTCTCATTTAGTTTTTGTGTGGAAAAAGTATTCCTTACGAACGAATGGAATTAACACTATTGAGATCTGTGTATTAACATTGTTTTAAATCTATTACAGACGAGACGTTTAGTTAGTGTGATAAAGCAGATGTTTGAAACCATCACAGAAATGTGACAGGTTGTATTTCTGTGCTTGTTCAGGTCACGGCTCAGTTGACGACATGCTGGATGCTGAAAACAAACGGATGGCTGAGAATCTGGCCACCAAAGTCTCCAGACTCAAATCTGTATGTGAGTCCGATGAGTTGATAGCTTTTCTAGGTGTTTGTCAAACTCACTTTTTTCTCAGCAGCAAGTCTTGGTCTTCCCAAAAAAGCTGTGAAGCAACTGAAACTTGTTCAGAAGTAGGGTTGTCACGGTGTGAAAATTTAACCTCACGGTTATTGTGACCAAAATTATCACGGTTTTCGGTATTATCGCTGTATTTTTGTTAACGTGTTACATTTTCAGATAACTAAATAAACCCTGTATATCAGGAAAATATTGTCCTCAGTTTGTGTCAAAATTTTGCCTAAAATGTGTTATTTTGTAATTATGTTGTTTATTTGTTTACATTTTTCTCCTTTAGTCTTTAAAATACCAATATTTGCCCATAACTTCTTATTTTATGTCTGTTTGATGTCATCATTTAAAAATATTAGATCAGATGATACTCAGTACTCAAGTAGCCTTCTAATCAGATACTTTTTTACCCTTACTTGAATAATAAACCCTATTTCAGGAAAATATTGTCCTCGGTTTGTGTCCTTCCAGTGAGCTTTGCAGATTTGGGAAAATGTCATCAGGCAGTAATCGTTGTTAAATTCATAATTATTCTCGGAGAGAGACCAACTCTTATCTGCCCCTGGGAGCCCCGTAATGCATAGCGTCATTTCAACATGGGGGTGTCCGCGACACGGTTTATATGCAGGTAGCGGCGCTGCGGCTGCTTTATATAGCGACTCGTTGCATTCTCCCTCAACCCAAATCCTCGGATCACGCATTTGAGCTAAAATGCTAACGTTAGCTTGCCTTGCGTTGACTGTAGAGTTGTGGGTGATGGTCACGCAGATGTGTCATGACATTTGAAGCGTTGCTGCCTTTCACAGACACTTTTTCTGCACGTGCTGCAAACAGGATAGCCGTCTTCTATCAACTGTCCCTCGGCATTCTTCAAACATCCAAAAAATGCCCGTACTTCCCACTTTGTCTTCTTTGAGGGATAATAAATGTCCTGAGTGCTGCCGTCTCCTCCTTTGGCCGTTATTTCAGCTTTAGCTTCAAGAAAGTTTTGGTTGTAAACAACAAAGCGCGCATGTGCCGCCGGCAACTTCAGCAGATGATACGGTGGCTGGTAAGGGTCACCGAGCCTACACCGCAGCCAGGTAACCCACCGAGATAATATAGTTTTTTAAAAACAAGACGGTTATTATTATTGTCAACTTTTTTACCGGGGTTTACCGCTACACCGGTTACCGTGACAACCCTAGTTCAGAATGCTGCTGTCAGAGTCTTAACAAGAACTCCTGTTCTTAGATCCCTACACTGGTTGCCAGTAAACCACAGAATAGACTACAAAGTGCTCCTACTAGTTTATAAATCACTCAATGGCATGGGGCCAAAATACATGTCAGATCTCATTCCTGTATATACACCCAATAGGGCTCTGAGATCCCTTGGAAACAATCAGCTGGTAGAACCTCGGGTCAGAAGCAAACATGGTGGAGATGCATTTAGTTACTATGCTGCTCACATATGGATCCAGCTTCCCCATGACCTCAGATCTGCCCCAACTCTAGTGTTGTTTAACGCTAAAAACCCGAATGTACTCATCAGCCTTTACATGATTTGTTTCTTATGCTGGGTCGTCTCCACTGTAATCTCTGATGTAATTGCTCAACCATAGCTCTGTCTTTTCCTTTTAGCTCTAGAATATAATTGTATCTGTGTTCTCGTGTTTATTGTCGTGCCATTTCATGCTAAGTGTAAAGCACATTGAATTGTCCCTGTGTTTGAAATGTGCTGTATAAATAAAGCTGCCTTCCCCTAAAAATGAATAACATTTACCAAACAGCATTGGGGTTTGCATTTTCACAAAGACATAATGAAAGCATTGTTTTTGTATTTATGTTTGTTCACCAGAATGCCCCAGCTAGAGTGGAAACAGGATTGAGTTGAAAGTTGTTGTAACCTCTGATCTTCTGTCTCCTTTTTGGCAGCTAGCATATGACATCGACAGAGAGGCTGACGACCAGAACGAGTACCTAGACGGCATGGTGGGTCCAATCTGTGGCTGACATCGTCTTTGATGGAAATTTTGGACTTTATTTCCAGATTAAAGTCAACATTTTTAGTAAAACTAGTCAAAGTAGATTTTCAAGATGAGGAATAAAAACAAGCACTGTCTCAAAGGCCTACAGTCTTTCAAGCAGAACTTAAACGTTAAAGTCCCATTAGTCGTCACCCAGGTGGAGTGTTGAGCTGCAGACGCGGCTGTGCTCTGGAACTATTGGGTTGTTTAAGCCCCCAATCGAACAAAACCTTTAATGCTGAGTGTCAAACGTTGGTTAACATTTCTCAAGTCTGCCTCGTCCATTATTCTGGAGAACGAGAGGAGCCGAGTGTGGCTGAGAGGCCGCCAAACACAGTGGAGGACGAGCTTCTCCGAGCCTCCACAGAGCCGGCTTCAATCAAAATACACCCGAATGAATCCACTGTTTATATAAGGAACAATAACACTACCGGATTTACCGGTCGATCTACGTCCCAATCCTCCCCTATGGTCATGAGCTTTGGGTAATGACCGAAAGAACGAGATCGCGGGTACAAGCGGCCGAAATGAGATTCCTCCATAGGGTGACTGGGCTCAGCCTTAGAGATAGGGTGAGGAGCTCGGACATTCGGGAGGGACTCGGAGTAGAACCGCTGCTCCTCCGGATCGAAAGGAGTCAGTTGAGGTGGTTTGGGCATTTGGTCAGGATGCCTCCTGGACACCTCCCTGGGGAGGTGTTTCGGGCATGTCCTGATGGCAGGAGGCCCCCTGGGTCGACCCAGGACACGTTGGAGAGGTTACATCTCCAATCTGGTCCGGGAACGCCTTGGGGTACTGCCGGAGGAGCTGGTGGAGAAGGCCGGGGAGAGGACGGTCTGGAGCTCCCTAGTTGGGATGCTGCCCCCGCGTTCCGGACCCGTATAAGCAGAAGAAGATGATGACGGCAATAACACTAACCCATTCATAATGGTGGATTTGAACAGCAGTCTCCCAGTCTCAGGGCACACACTCATACCATTAGGCCACTGAGCTGGTCTTCAGAAGGTTGAGTGGAGACCAAATTGTCTCTGAGTGAGTGAGTGAGTGAGTGAGTGAGTGAGTGAGTGAGTGAGTCGGTGGTCGTTTGTCTCGTGTCCCTGTGATGGACTGGAGGCCTGACCTGGGTGTCCCTGCCTCTCAGCCAGTGGCTACTGCACATAGACTCCAGCTCCTCACGACCCTAACAAGGAATAAGTGGTTTAGATGATGAGTGAGAGAGTTTTATGGGATAGATGATCCCAAATGTTTACCGGGAATTCTACACTGTCAGTGAGTCGAGTTAAACAGGCCTGGCTTCGCTGTAAATACTGTTCTCTTCTTCCTCTTTAGGACTCAAACTTCCTGAGTGCGACGGGCTTGTTAAGCGGCAGCGTGAAGCGTTTTTCCACCATGGTCCGATCTGGCAGAGACAACCGCCGCCTCCTCTGTTACGTTTCCATGGGTCTGGTTCTGGTGTTCTTTCTTCTTTATTACCTGGTGTCCCGGATTCAGCGCTGAGACCAGACTGTTACCACCACACCAGACTCCAGTGAGCTCTGTATCTCGAGCAAAGAAGACTTTTTTTTTTCATTCATCAGGACCAAAGAGAGAAACGTTAGATGTCAACAGGAAGTACTAATGTAGAGCAGGTGGTGTGGGCTCGCTCGATGGGAGGAACGGTGGTGGATCCTGTTATGAAAACAGCTTCCCTCTGTGGAGAACCAGCTTTGACCTGCCCTGCATCCCGAGAGAAGGAAGGAGAAACATCTGGTTTTGGTACAACACAGCTGAGTCTCAGCTCCTGATCACACACCAGTTCAAATCAGAGCATCTCTGATGAATCTTAGATTTATTCAAGTCTTTGGAGGTTAAGGGTTCTCTTTCATGTTTCATGTATTTGCATTGAAACTATAAGTTATGGATTATTGCAATGCTTATGTCAATACGTCTCTGGCATTAACATTAATGTTAAGATCCTGTTTGGGGTTTATAGAGATGATTTGGCCCTTTATTCATTCAAATTTCATTTCAAGTCATCAAACGATTGTGTATTCCAGCAAGTTTTCTCATCACAGATGAATGACATTGATTTAAAGACTGTTATTAGGGTTGGTTGCAGACTTGGTGGTATTGTACCTATTATGGGATTTATATAAACAACGGATCCATTTGGTTGCATTTTGAGTAAAGAAGGAATATATTTATTTTCACGACTGTGACTCAAATAATGATTTTATTTTAGTAACTGAATAAAACATTTTAAGATGTTATAGTTGTTTCCTTGCCATCTAAAACCTCTGAAATATTTTCAAAAAGTTTTTTTAAATCCATTCTTTTTGTTAGTACGATTGAAATGAACAACGAGACAAGAGGGATGGCCAGTTAATCTGCGCGGAAGCGGGAATCTTGACCGGCGAGTCGCTTCGGGTAAACTCGTATCCTCTCGGTATTTTCCGGAACTCGCCACAGACATCAAATGCGAACAAAGAAAGAGCTGTTGTCCTTATTCCTCTGGATTAGCTGGTGTGGTTCCGTTAGATTTGGGTTGAATACGCGACGAGCTGATTATTTAAACCGTACCAGTAAACGTGACGTGTGCAGCGCTGTCGGAGAAGCTCGTGCTCCGCTGTGTTCCGCGGCCGCTCGCCTCGGCCACATTCGGCTCCTCTCGTTCTCCGGAATAATGGACGAGGCAGACTCGGCCACGAAAGCGCTCGGGCTGGATGAACCGCCCATCGGCGGGTCGTCTGTGGAGGGAGCGAGCTCGGATACGGAGTCGGAGGCCGAAGTCACCCCGATGGCTGTGATGGCGGAACCGGGAAACATCGACATGGGAGCCGAGTCCCTGCCGAACTCCGACGAGGCCGAGGCTGCTTTTGCAGGTAACCAGCAGCTGCAGGCCGCCAGATTATTTAGTATCTAACGTATATTTGGCTCTGTTAAAAGCCATGCATTCGGAGTCCACATATAAAACTACATTAATGAAAATAAATAGCTAGACTGCTGTGCCGAAGTCCATTCAGGTTTTGTGTGTTTTTAACTGTCACCATGACAGGAAATGTCTTTACTATAGCTAGACCTTAGTTTACCAGTTTAACCGATGCTCTCAAATTCGGCAGCAGCAAACATGAGGGGGAGATGACCCGGTTGCAGGGTGCAAGTGTTTACAGTCAGAAGATGCAATGTTGACTTTTAAGGTGGCCCAGAAGGGTCAATCAAAATTCAAACGCAACAAAAGATTTCACCCAGAACAACACAATATGGCTTGGTGAAGGACTTTGGTTAGTTGGGATTTTTAAAGACAAATGAAACTAAAGACTTTTGACAACGACCCGTCACCTTTTATTAGTCTGTTTACAGTAGAGAAAGAAATCTGCACATTTCCATTGCAAGTTTTATTGACAAACCTCAGTTTATATTATTGTTATTTATATGTTTGTGTCTCTGATCGTTTTTGGTTCTGGAAGCCTCAGACTTCATGGATGTTTGAGCCAAATCACTATAATATTACCAGTGAACGTGATTAAATGGCAGAGGTGTGGACTCGAGTCACATGACTTGAACTCAAGTCAGACTCGAGTCATTATTTTAATGACTTCTGACTTGATTTGATAAAATTTATAAAGACTTACGACTTGATTCGGACTTAAACGCCAGTGACTTGCGACTTGAATTGACTTACATCTGTTGACTTCAAATCATCACATCAGATTTTATTTATAAAGCGCTTTTCAAGCCAAGTGCTACTCAAAGTGCTTTACAGTATCAAAATGACCCCAAATTCCCATAACAATTTAAAAACAATAACACACACACACACACACACACACACACACACACACACACACACACACACACACACACACACACACACACACACACAATAACATCAGTAAAAATGTATATTCGGCTGAGTCCAGATGAGCCAAGTAAGGTAAGGCAAGGAAACGCCATCAGCGGAGCCGTCTGCCCCGGCAACATCAGGTCTTCCACAGCAACTAAGTCAGAACACTCAGAGGAGGGGCAGCATAGACCCCCACCTCCACCCAAACACTACCTGTAGAACGCCCAGGAAGCAACAGTCGACCACGACCCCTGGGGCAGAGGGCCCCTGCAGAGAAAACACTGGATTAAAATGAGTAAAAATATGAAAATAAAAGAGTTAATATAAATGACAAAATTAATAAAATAAATAATTAAATCATATGGACAGTAAAATTATAACATTGTTAAATAATGAAACGGTGCTAAAATATAATCATGTAAAACATGCAAAGCCAGTAATAAAATATAGTCATGTAAAACGAGAAACTAAACTATAGTAAATATTTAGATAAAAGCTAACCTATATAGGTGGGTCTTGAGCCTGAACTTAAAAACGTGAACGTTCTCTGCGACCCTGAGGTCCTCTGGCAGCTCGTTGCAGAGGCGAGGGCCATAATGCTGGAAGGACGACTCGCCGTAAGTGTGTGTCCTGACTTTAAGGAGGACCAGGAGACGCCTGCCAGAGGAGCGCATAGGCTGTGAGGGTTCATATGGGAAAAGCAGTTCTCAAAGATAAGAAGGTCCAGGACCATTAAGACACTTAAAAACCGTTAGAAGAACCTTAAAATGTATGTATTTATTTATTTATTTAAACATAATTTTATACAGAGGAATAACCACTTGAGATGAAACATCTCGTTTTCGAGTGGGTCCTCCTTTACAACAAAAACAAACAAAAATTAAGAGCAAGACAGCAGAGCAAAAAGCAAAATCAAAACATTACAACAATCATTTACAGACACACACACACCCACACACCCTCAAAGGCTCACAATACTTCACCCCACACTACACGACCCCATCTAACAAGGACAAAACAAAAGCAACAGCCAGTTGAACAAATACAATTAGTAACATAAAGACAATTATTCCTAAAGATGATCGACCAGAGCCCTTCGAAAAGTAGTGAATGATTATAAACAACTAATAGATAAAGGAAGATTATTCCAATCACATGGAGCCGTAAAACCAAAAGCATGTTTCCCTACCTCTCTTTTCACTCTAGGAACAACAAAAAAGAGCTGGTCATTATGCCAAAATTGATCCTGAAACATACGGGGAGCCAATGCAATGATTCTAAAACTGGTGTAATGTGCTCCCGCCTCCTGGTCTTCGTCAGGACACGTGCTGCCGAATTTTGTAGAAGCTGCAAGCCTGAGATGCTCTTTTTGGGAAGAGCAGAAATCAGGGCATTGCAGTAGTCTGTCGTACGGGTGATAAAAGTATGCATCAACGTCTCCGTATTGGCCCAAGAGAGAATAGGGCGGACTCTGGCGATGTTCTTTAGATGATAAAAACCTATTTTTGTGATGTTTTAATGTGTGGGCTAAAAGTCAGCTCAGAGTAAAAATTCACACACACGTTCTTCACTTGTTCAGAAGGATTTGAAGACATTGATTGTAGTTTTGGCAAAAGTTTCTCTCTCTGGGCCTCAGGACCAATGACTAAAACTTCAGTTTTGTTCTGGTTGAGCTGGAGAAAGTTCTCTGCCATCCAGGATTTGATGTCAAAAATGCAATTTAAAAGTGCATCCATTGGTTGTGTGTCATCAGGAGACACGGAGATGTACAGCTGTGTATCATCAGCGTAACTGTGGAAATTTACCCCATGTCTCATAATGACACCGCCAAGAGGGAGCATATAAAGGTTAAAAAGCACTGGGCCTAAAACTGAACCCTGGGGCACACCACACGTGATCCCATGGACCGTCGAGGAACAGGTATCCAAACTCACCATAAAAGTCCTGTCTGTGAGGTAGGACGTGAACCATCTATGAACAGCACCAGAGAGGCTGATCTGTTTTAAACGGGTTAAAAGAACAGTGTGGTCTACTGTATCAAAGGCAGCGCTTAGGTCCAGTAGGACCAACACTGTCCCCTTCCGTTTATCATAAGTTACTCTAAAATAATTAAAAATCTTCAGAAGGGCCGTCTCTGTGCTGTGGTTCACCCTAAAACCAGACTGAAATTTCTCTAGGACATTATTAGTGTTTATAAAATCATTTAGTTGATTTAAAACCAACTTTTCTAAAATTTTGCTTAAAAATGGTAAGTTGGATACCGGTCGATAATTGTTTAATTCATTAAAATCTAAATTGCTCTTCTTCGACAGGGGTCTCACCACCGCCCTTTTAAAGGCAGCAGGAAAGACCCCCGTCTGAAGGGAGCAATTCATCAGGGTTAAAATCTCATCACTAAAAGATCCATAAAATTGTTTAAAAAACAAAGTTGGGATTGGGTCCAGAACACATGTGGTGGGTCTCACTGAGGAGAAAACTTTATCAAGAGTCTCAGCTTCTACCAAGACAAAGCTGTCCAGTGTTTCCTCTGGTATAGACACACATCCAGATTTATCTAAGACCTTATTACTTATGGAGGATAAAATATTCCGTCTGATGGTGTCTACCTTCCCTCTGAAGTGGGCTGCAAACTCCTCACAGAGCGCATTTGAGGGTGTTTTCTGAAGTGAATTGGATGTACGGTTTACAATGTTGTTTATGGTGGAAAAGAGTATTCTGGGATTGTGTTTATTGTCTAGAATCAGTTTGGAAAGGTATGCATTTCTTGAATTTCTCACTGCGTTACTATATGATTTAAGTAGCTCCGTATATATTTGATGTTTTATAGTTGTTTTTCTCCATCTCCGCTCTGCGACTCAGCAGTTTCTCTTTAGTGCCTTTAGATTTTCATTTCTCCACAGTGAAGCACGTTTTGAATATAGCTTTTTGATTTTAAGTGGAGCGAGCCGGTCGAGAGCGGATTTCAGGCTACTGTTAAAATCATTGACAGTAAAATGACAAGAGGCAGTTATCGGATTGGGAGGGGTCTTTCTGTGACTTGATGATGACTTGAGCATATTTGATATTTTAACAATATTTTAACAGTTTGTTCTTGTACTGCTAAATGCAGCAGCACAAATACATGAAGCTTTATTTCTGGAATTTATTTATTATCATTGTCATTAAATGGAAGTTGGACAGATGACTTGATTATGACTTGAAAATTCAAAGTTAAGGACTTGGACTTCCACATCACTGACTTTGGACTGGACTTGGACTTGGTTGTCTTTGACTTGGACTTCACTCGAGACTTGACCGGAAAGACTTGTGACCTACTTGTGACTTGCAAAGCAGTGACTTGGTCACACCTCCGTTAAATGGCATGATGATTTTAGACATTAGACAACAGCTGCGTTCAGCAGAGTCACTGCCGTGCTGAGATGTTAGGCGTGGCTGTAGAAGCACTCTCTGGTATAGACTGAGTCCATATAAATAATCTTGGATTACGAGTGTTACAGTAGATGTTTACATGTGCGTCCACATTAACCCCTCCACAGCCTGCTCCTCACACTCTTCTCATTTGTTGGAACTGAACCTGTGTTGTTTATCAGAGGTGACGGCCGTATCTATGGCGGATGTTCATGCTGCAGAGGACGTCTTCACCACAACAGTCGCCACCTCCGGAAGCCTTCCAGAGCACATGCTGGTAGATCACACACACACACACACACACACACACACACACACACACACACACACACACACACACACACACACACACACACACACACACACACACACACACACGCTGTCCTTATCTTTCCTCCTTCTGCTTAAAGACGGATCACTGCTCCATGCCAGTTTTGAAGGAGCATCTTATGTTGAGGAAGGATGGAGAACTGTTCTAGAAGGTTGCAGGTTCAGCTCCCAGCTGGGATCTTTCTGGATGTGTGGGTTTCTCCAGGTCTTCCAATGTCCTCCTGCAGACCTGAAACATGCATGTGAGGATGAACGGTGACGCTAAACTCACTAGGTGTGAGTGAGTGTCTGGATGGACGTCCATGTGAGATGGACAGGTGGCCTGTCCTGGGTGTCCCTTGTGTCCCCATCACTGTGAGCTGGAATCAAGCTAAAACACGAGACCCCAGAAGCCGACCTTGTTCTCTCTCTCTCTCTGTGTGTGTGTGTGTGTGTGTGTGTGTGTGTGTGTGTGTGTGTGTGTGTGTGTGTGTGTGTGTGTGTGTGTGTGTGTGTGTGTGTGTGTGTGCTTGCAGGGTGGCAGAACCACTCTCCAGCTGGGTGAAGGTCTCAGTACCCAGAAGGCCACTCTGATTGTTGTTCACACAGATGGCAGCATCGTGGAGGCTGCAGGCCTAAAATCTGCAGCCAGCATCACATCAGGTACACCAGTGTGTGTTGATGGTTTCAGTCAACACTTGGTGGAACGTAACACATCTGTCTGTATGTCCTCAAGGCCCTCAGACCCCGCCTGCGCCACTCACTCCTCACCAGGACAAAGACTCCTGCTCCAAGTACAACTGGGACCCGTCGGTCTACAACAACGAGCTCCCGGTCCGCTGCAGGAACACCAGTGGGGTTTTGTACAAGAACCGACTGGGATCAGGTGACTGGTGCTCTTTAACCCTGAAAGCTTGTTTTCTTGTTGGCGTCCAGTCAGACTCAGGAGTCAGGCTTCCTGGTCCTTCCTACACTCTCCACGTTGTTGTGTTCAGGGGGTAAAGGGCGCTGTATCAAACACAGCCAGCAGTGGTACACCCCCACAGAGTTTGAAGGTCTGGCAGGAAGAGCGAGTAGCAAAGACTGGAAGAGGAGCATCAGATACGCCGGCAGGCCTCTGCTCTGCCTGATTCAGGTGCTGGGCCCTGCTGTGGATGACCGCTTTAGTTACGTCACATTTCTGCTGCGCTTGGCCGTGCCTTCGCTGTAGTCTGAACTTGTGTGTGTGTGTGTGTTAGGAGCGGATCCTGAACCCCCACGCTGCTTCCTGTACCTGCGCAGCGTGTTGTGATGATCTGACGCCAGTAAGAGAGAGAGAGAAGCATGATGGCAGGATTTCTTCCTGAATGAAAAATTCATGTCTTTTTCTGTTTCTTATACTCTAGTCTGCAAAGGAGGGCGAGCCCATGGTACCAGAGAGCGTCACCATGGTAACGGTTACTTTGATCATCAGTGTGGCAGCAGGTTTCTCAGAGTGTTCTGTAAAGGATGTTTGGTGGGTTAGTGTTGGGGGTGTGTCCTTATTCTCACTCCTACGGACGGTATTTCTATCACACGTGTGCAGCTTTCTCACCAGGCTTAGTTACTTCCAGGTTCCTGCTGACTGAGTGAGGTCTCACTGCTGAACGCTTTGTTGTCTAGACCGGTCCAGTCCGCCTCTTCGTCCCGTACAAGAGACGGAAAAAGGACGCCGAGCCCACAGTCGTCCGGCTAAAGAAGGAGCTTCCTGCCCACAAGAACATCCAGCTGTCTCCTGGAACAACGTGTAGGTCATGTGACCTCAGTCTGAAGAACAACCTGTGTTCACAGGATGAAATAAACATCTGCCCAGATGGATTCTGAATTGAGTAGCTGACACATCTGTCCTGTTTCGACAGTCACGGTGTCCCCGACAGGACAGTTCACCACCTCCGGCACCCTGACGTTTGACCGGGCCTCAGCCAGCGACGCTGACGCCGCTGCCATCATCTCAGACGTGACGGCACAGAGTGACGTGTTTGCCAGCACCACAGGTAGACTGGTCCTCCAGGGGATCAGCTGAGGAGTCTGCTCCCCCTGTCTGCTCCCCCCAGCCTCCATATGGAGGAAACTCTTCCTTTAGCCTGGGTTTCTAATCCTGTGAACATCTCTGAGGGCTGGAGCTTAGACCGACTATAAGAGGGAATCTCAGCTCCTTCTTCAGCACTACAAACCAAACATCCTCATTACCGTCCATCTCTCGCTTCAACCTGGCATCGACCACAGGAAGACATCCAGATATCTAACTCCTCCACTTCTAATAGAAACTCCCGGGATCAAACCTTTTAGCTGTGGATCTGGAGAAGCAGACTCATCTCAGCTGCTTCCCACTTGGCAGTGAACCATCCCAGAACATGCTGATGGACATCAGATGCAGGTCCTGTCCTTGAACATTATAAGCCAGATGAGAGACACGGGGAAGCCACGGAGAAGTGGAACTGGCCCAGCTTTATGGTAGGAAGGTAGCTGCACAGGGACCAGACCCCAGAAACCCCGTCTCCATGGCAACCCAACAACCAGCTCTGACCAAGTCCCCTTGTATATAAAACACTGCCATGGTGGCCCGGGCCCACACCATCATGCCCCCTCCTCCGTGTGTCCCTTACAGAGCAGCTGGATGTGAAAACTGTTATGTGGTGAAACGAAACACCTGTCCTCTCCAGCAGGGGGAGCTCCTCACCTGATCAGCTAGTCCTCGTGTGTTTATTATACAGACTGAGAGATGTGTCCTTAACAGGAGACATATTAGCTTACCGCTCCTTTATTTCCCATCAGCCCTCTGACACTCCTCTCCCTGCGTCTGTCCCTCAGTGCTGACGGCTCTGCCTGCTCTGACTTTGACTCCTCAGCCGATCCAGGCTAAAGTAGCGGTGGCAGCCGCAGCGTCGCCTCCCCCTGCAGCTTTGGTGACGGGACTGGAGGTGGGCTCCGTCGGGGGTGGGATACCGCCTTTGATCGACGGGCAGAAGAACACCTGGGCGTACCTAGAAGAGCTGGCGAACACGCTGCTCAGCAACGTCCAGCAGCTGAAGACTCTGATTGAACAGGCCAAGAACACTGCAGGGGAGGCAGCTGGGGTGAAAGGTCAGGGAGGCAGGAAGGAGGTGAGGCAATAACCAAGCAGGAAGTCCCAGAAACGGGAAGTAACAGCTGTAGCGATTCAACGTTTCTGTGTGCTTTTGGTTTTCAGTGTGGCCTTGGCCAGTCGTTTCAGAACCACCTCTCGTTACAGCCTCCGGAGGACCCGGAGGTCAAGAGGAACACCGACATCACTGAGATCATCATCAACGTATGAAAAGCAACACACACGGTGTCAGCCAGCCCTAAAGATAGGTCCTTCTGGTAAAGCTCTGAGCTGCTTCTCTTCTCTATCCCGCCTCCGCAGCAGATGTGTGTGAACTGTGGTCGGATGGCCATGAGCGAGTGTGCGGGCTGTCACAAGGTCAACTACTGCTCCATCTTCTGTCAGAAGAAGGTGAGGCCTTCATGAGCAGTGCAGGTTGTAGATCCCAAAAAAAGGACACGACCTTTAAACACCGGCCTGGATCCACGTGGAAGGACGCTGCTGATCTGTCAGGAAGAGGTTTCTTTTTTTAAAATCAACAAAAACAATCTGCTCTTGTCTCTGCAGGACTGGAAGGATCATCAGCACTCGTGCTGTCAGTCAGCAGAGGGCGTGGCTGTTCAGGAGGAGGAGCCAATCACAGCTATGGACATGGACAAAGTGAAGTGAGCAGGCTCCTCGCGCCATCAGCAGACACAAGTGTGAATGGGCTTTCTTCGTAGTGGAGTGTGTTCTGTCACCATGGCAACACCCTTGACCAGAAAACAGCCGTTAAGTGCACGTCAGGGTCAAGGGTCAGAAATCAAGGAGGTGATCTGAAGTAAGACGAGCCGCTGGAGTCCAGCTCGTTTCTTTGCGTTATCGACGTGTTTCTTTACCACCGCCGTGTTCTGTTCTCATGCCGACTCGCGATGAAGAGAAGGAACCGTCTCAAGACGTCCTGGAGGACCACGAGCGTCAACAGGAAACGTGGGTTTAAATGAAAGCAGCCTCTGACAGCAGCTCCAGGGCAGGCTGAACCAGAACCAGCAGAATCTCAGGTGTTCTAAGGTGTTCTTTTGTATTTTTGGACTGTTTAATTTAAAGCTGGCCTCTGCTGATAGACTGGGCCCTAAAAACCAGGACAAGAAAGTCAAACTGTGGGGGACTTTCTATGCAAGTAAAGTGAAAAGTGATTTGTCATTTAGTTTCTAGTTCCTTCATGATCCCACCTCCAAACATCACCCCAGATGTTCTCCTCACTAAAAACGCAGCACTGCTTCTGGATTCCCGAGACTTCCCAAGAAGAACTAGAAATGTCTGGAAAACCTTATTTATTCAGTTTTATAGGTGTCCGAAGGAAGCGGAGCTATTATTACTAATGGAGCTCGTTTCAGGTTCACAGATGATATAGAATCTATTAAACAGCTTTAACCAAATCATGTGTGTTTAAGAACTTGTTTCAGATATCCAGAAGTTCTCATTCGCTTCTTATTTCAACTCAATCCGATTTATTTATAATGCGCCAAATCCCGACAAGAGTCGTCTCAAGGACCTTCACATAGTAAACATCCCAATACAGGTCAGGTCATTAAGCCAATCAGTAAAAAGTTTCCTACATAAGGAACCCAGCAGGTCGCATCAAGTCACTGACTTTACAGCAATCCTCATACTAAGCAAGCATATAGCGACAGTGGAGAGGAAAACTCCCTTTTAACAAGAAGAAACCTCCAGAGGATCCTGGCTCAGTATAAGCAGCCATCCTCCACGACTCACTGGGGATGGAGAAAACAGAGCACACACACAGACACATGCACACACACACACACAGACACATGCACACACACACACAACAGTAGTGTTTCTATGTCAGAAAGCCTGTCCGGCTTGTCTGACTCGTGTTTTCATAGATTTTTATCTCAAAAATCCTCTTAAATCTTTTCTTTAGGGGCGGCTGTTTAACGTGTTAATTATGAGTAATAAATTAGAAAATAGTAACGAGTTAATAAAAATAACAAATGGGCTAAAGGCCCCCCAATTGGGGGGCATTGAAGCTTAGCAGCAAAATGCATGCCCTAAATCTCAATTCAAAAATACTTTATTAATCCCAGAGGGAAATTGATTGCAGTAGTAGCTCAGAATAATAACAATAATCAAGTCATCAAAGAGTTATTGTATATTACAATGGCTGTTGGCAGGAAGGATCTCCAGTAGCGGTCAGTGTTGCAGCGAAACTGAAGAAGCCTCTGACTGAAGACACTCTTCCGTTGTCGGACAGTCTTGTGAAGAGAATGCTCAGGGTTGTCCATCATTTTCTTGATTCTCTGGAGAATCCTTCTTTGCATTATCTCCTCCAGTGGTTCCACAGTCGTCCCCAGAACAGAACCAGCCTTTTTTATTAGGCTGTTGAGCCTTTTCAGGTCCCTGCTTCTGATGCTGCTACCCCAACAGACGATGGCTGAAGAGATTACACTCTCAACAACAGACTTGTAGAAGATTGCAGCATCTTGCTACAGACATTGAAGGACCTAAGTGTCCTCAAGAAGTGCAGTCTGCTGTGTCCCTTCTTGTAAACGGCTTCACTGTTCTTTCTCCAGTCCAGTCTGTTGTCCAGGTGAACTCCAAGGTATTTGAATTCCTCAACCACCTCCACTTCTTCTCCCATGATGGAAAAAGTGTTTGACTCCACCCTGTTTCTTCTGAAGTCTAAAATCATCTCCTTTGTTTTGTTCACGTTCAAGGTCAGATGATTGTTTCCACACCATGCCACAAAGCGCTCCACCAGCTCTCTGTACTCAGCTTCCTGTCCATCTCTGATACACCCGACAACTGCAGAGTCATCTGAGTATTTCTGTAGATGACAGGTCTCTGATTTGTTCTGGAAGTCTGAGGTGTACAGGGTGAAAAGAAATGGTGAGAGTACAGTCCCCTGTGGTGCTCCCATGTTACTGATCGCCTGGTTTGATGTGCAGTTCTTCAGCCTCACAAAATGTGGTCTGTTTGTCAGGTAGTCTTTAATCCAGGCGATAGTTGAGGCCCCCACCTGTGTCTTCTGGAGTTTCTGGCAAAGTACATCAGGCTGGATTGTGTTAAATGCACTGGAGAAATCAAAGAACATGGCCCTGACAGTGCTGCCTGCTTTGTCCAGAAGACAGTGGATTGGTTGAAGCAGCTGGATGATGGCATCTTCAACTCCAACTCCATGGTGATAAGCAAACTGCAGCAGACCCTGATGTTCTAGTTTGCTTATTCAGGTGGACCAACAGGAGTCTCTCCAGGACCTTCATGATGTGGGATGTCAGGGCAACCGGTCTGTAGTCGTCACTGACTGATGGGCGAGTTTTCTTTGGAACTGGAACAAGGCAGGATGTCTTCCACAGGACTGGAACCTTCTCCTGGGCCAGGCTGAGGTTGAAGAGGTGCTGCAGAATCCCACAGAGCTGCTCTGCACAGGCCTTCAGTACTCTGGGGCTGACACCATCTGGACCTGCAGCCTTGTTCCTGTTCAGTCTCTCCAGCTGCCTCTTCACCTGACTTCTAGAGACAAATAGGTGGGAGGGGGAGGTAAATGTGGCAGCAGCGTCTCCTGACTTGGTTGAAGCCAGATTTATAGAACCAGAAGAGTCCATAACTGCGTTAGAGGACAAAAGAGCTGGCATGTGACAGGAAAATGTTGGATCAGAGGAGGATGGGATGATTGGCTGGGGACAGGCGAGGAGGATGCTGGGTTTGTTCCTGAACTGAACCTATTGAAGAACTTGTTCTGTTCATTGGCTGTGTCCAGGCTGCCATCTGTGCAATCCTTCCTCTGCTTGAAGCCGGTGATCTTCTTCATCCCTGACCAGACTTCTCTGATAATGTTCCTCTGTAGTTTGTTCTCCAGCTTCTTCCTGTATGCCTCCTTGCTGTCTCTGATCTTGATCTTCAGTTGCTTCTCAATAAACATTGTCAAGCTGCACCTCTAAAAAACATCAGAACCTCATCTTCAAGGTATTAACCTTTTAATGTGCTCCAAACAACCAAAACTACAATCACACGAGCGTTTTTGCCTTCGTTCTGTCTCTAACGCTGCTAAAAATCTCATTTCACACACATTTAGAGGCCAAGGCCCTACTGATTCTGAATGTGTATCAGAAAAAAGTTCAAGAGAAAAACAAAGGCATAAAAACATTTAAGCATATAAAACAAATACAATTACAATAAATATAATAAACGAGATTAATTAAGATTAATTAATTACAAAGCATCTAATTAATTTGATTAATTTTGATAATCGAGTCCGACATCTTTATTTTTCCTGGAGACTTTTTAGACTTTCTCACCAGGGAAACCCACTCGTGTCCAGCTTTAAACCGTCCTTACGCCTGCGTGACTCCAGCTCTGGTCAAAGGCTCGTTCCCATAGGAGGGTGTGCGTAGCAGTAACCAAACTAAACATGAAACAATCAAAAACGCTTTTAAACCTTAACTATTATCTAATGTAAACTAACAATTCGTTGTATTTAGCTGTTGGGTCTCAGGTTCCTCAAAGCTCCTCCTGCTGCAAACCTGAAATCTAACGCATTATAAATAAAAATCTGTCTGCTTTTGTCCTCCAGAACACTTTGATTTTATCTCCTAATCTCTGATCATTTGTTTGAGAGTTCCCATGTTTGAAGTGAATACTTTTGCTGCTGGGTGTCTTTATGCCCAGCAGTGGTCAGATGATGTGTTAGGTGGACTGCTGATGAATAATTTGAGACCTTTTGACATTTGAATCTGCTTGTTTCGGTCCCAGCGGCTCTCAGGTGTCTGCTCTGAGAGGATGATGGGGACTCCCTCAGGGGCAGACTTTTCCTCCACTTAAAGCCTGCTCACTTCAAGTTTTCCTGTGGAAAAGTTTCTCTTCAAAGAAGCTGTCTTTACTTCCCCGCTTCACAGAGTGATGCTTCACTGACGCAGCCGTTCTCCTCTGCGACTACCGGTTAGCTACGGTGATTCTGTTTTACATCCATTCGTCATCTCAGACTGTCCATCTGAGATGACGTTTTGCATCCTGCTGACCTTCACTCGACTTTGTCCCTGCTGAGCATTTACCCGGCCTCTGCAGGAACTCAGAGCAAGAAGTGAAAACAGTGAAATAGTCACACCTGAATGTATTTATGCTGATGGTTATAAGTGAGTTTTTGTTTGGCCAAAAGAAAAAAAAATGGTAAAAGTATGTTTTAAATGTTGCCATGGAGCTTCACCTTCAACAGACCTTCCATGACCCTCTACAGCTATCCCGTCACCCTGCAGATTTATGGTCCCATGTGGAGGCTGCCTTTGACACCAGCAGAGGAGGTTGTCATTAAAATGGTGTAACTGGAAGGCCTAGTCTGGTGTGTGTGTGTGTGTGTGTGTGTGTGTGTGTGTGTGTGTGTGTGTGTGTGTGTGTGTGTGTGTGTGTGTGTGTGTGTGTGTGTGTGTGTGTGTGTGTGTGTGAATGTTGTTGGGACACTCCAAGGTTACTCCTGACATCACAGGCGGTGTGGTCAGGTCCCCACTGGGACCAGTTCAGCAGAGCCCCCGTGCTGCAGTGCGTTGTGAGGGAGGTCCTGCATGTCCCACCGCTCCAGAGATGAGGTCCTGGTCAGGCCTGCCAGTCAGCTCCCTCAGTTTGTCAGAGGTTAACTCCAGCTGTTCTGCTGGACCTCAAAGATCAGTTACAACACACACAGGAGATGATACAGTAATCCTCTCAAAGACGTGCGGTCCATGCTGCCAGCTCCGTTATCCATTTGAAATGATCAGGAAGGTAAGGTAGGACCCAAACGCACAAGATGCGGAGATCCTAAATGATAAATAAATCCACTAAAAAGGGGGAAGCTAAATAAGGAAAAACCACACTAGAGGCAAAAGTAAACTAGGATAAACAGAACAGAACAATTTAAAACATTAATATAACCAAACTAAAAGCCTGGGAGATACAAATTAAGCCATGAACAGGGAATAAACTAAAGGTGGAACCCAAAGTTTCCAAAGCTGATGCCAACGTGGAAGTGACAAAACTTGCAGTTCTCTAATCCACTAGGGGCTGGACCCAAAACAGAGCAAATCCTCATTGGTAAATGGCCTGTATTTTATATAGCACCTTCTAGAGTCCTGAAACCCCCCAAGGCGCTTTACAACACTATCAATCATTCACCCATTCACACATACATTCACACACTGGTGGGGATGAGCTACGATGTAGCCACAGCTTTCCTGGGGCGCACTGACAGAGGCGAGGCTGCCGAGCGCTGGCGCCACCGGTCCCTCCGACCACCACCAGCAGGCAACGTGGGTTAAGTGTCTTGCCCAAGGACACAATGACAGCGACAGACTGAGCGGGGCTTGAACCTGCAACCTTCCGATTACGGGGCGAGCACTTAACTCCTGTGCCACCGTCGCCTATGTTAAAAATTCCACCTTCACAGCAG